CTGTCCGACAGTTCCCCAGCATCTTTATAGTGAACAGTTTAGGAGATGGCTTCCTAAGCCTCAAAAAGCCCCCTCATCACCATCATAAAAGTGTCCAAAAATTTGTTTGAAGGAATAATAAAATATTTTGGGCACATCACCCACCAATAATGTGCACCAAATTGAGCTGTTCTGTATAAGCCTGATAAAGTCATTCATAGTTGAGACTAGCATTTTTTTACACATTTGAAAGAAGGTGATAAAAACTCCACAAAAAAGTACTTCACAAACTAAACCGTCACTTGTAGGTTACCAGAACAGCAGCCTAAGAAAGACGATGTCTCTGCAGGTTTATGGAGTCACACAAGTGGATTTGATCTTCAAAGCACAAGACCAGTGTTAGCTGTAACGGAAACCCAGGTCACGTCATTAAAAAGCAGCACAACGAGTGTAAAGGCAGTGTGACACTGTGGTGATTAAATCGCTGTTGGGGCTGCTTGGTTAACTAGTCAAAGTCAAGCGCCTCATAAAGTTTATTTAAAAAACAAACAAAAAAAAAAAAAACAGAAAAACCCAAACATCACTTTACTTTGATCTTATGCAAGCAAGCATGTAGGAAGACTACAGAGCAGCCAGCTCCAAATGATCCCAAGTTCCGAAATGTGATGAATGAGGTGTTAGACATCTAGCCAAAATTTGAACATTCAAATCATAAAAGGGAAGTTGCTGTTGTGTTACTGGTCAGGAAATTTACCAAAAGGAAGTAAGACACGCAGCTGTACAAACAGGTGCTGGAGTAAAAGTAAGCCCTGAGCCCTGCAGGTCTGACACAGGGTCAAAATGGCAACTGAATAAATAAAATGACAAAAACCCCTAAAGTCAAGGAGCACAAAAATTGAGGTGGGGGGTTAAGTAGGATCTCCATTTGCCAAAGCTGTCCCAGAGCAGGAGGTTAATATTACTTTCTGGAGCTGCACTTTAGATTTCTTAAGGAATCCAGGATCAGTCCTGCCAAGGACATTGGCTGAACTTGGCACGGCCCTAATGTATGTAATGCAATCGCGCTTAAGGAAGACCTGTCAAAAGAGCTATGCGTACTAGAGATTACAATAAGATTAGCTTGACAGCAAAGTACATAAACATCAGATTAATTCAGTATACGGTTTTCTCAGCTATCCATATTCACGTTCATTCAGCAACATTACGGTTTAAGTCTGGTTCACATGTAAGAATTAAGCCATTTTAATTGAATAGTTGTCTGTTTTTTTTTCTTAAAAGAAAGACCGATATGAACGACTTACAGTGAATCATGCTGCACCATGCATGAGGTATCAGCTTAAAAAATGCGCCAAGGTGAGGCCTTTGGCCAAACCGACAACAAGGTGAACATAATGACTCACTCACGCTTCTTCCCTGCGGAAGCTGACAGAAAATAAAAAGGGGAACTAAAACAATGATCATAGCACAGTACAGAAAGGACAAGTTTTCTCTGTGAACCTATGAAAAGGAGTTTCCCTAAGAAGCACCAAGGTCTGGTACCAGGGGACTATTTTGGGCGTTCATATTGAATACACACTGCCTGCAGACAGGGACAAAGATTCAGTAGCGTGATTGTTGGCACCAGACTATCTCAGGAACAGCCACCAAAGGCTCTTCGGTACTGTTAGAGATTTTGTGCCCCATCACAGTATATATTATATTGGGTCCCCAACCTAGACCAGTCCATTTGTTTAATTTTTCTAGGACCCCTGTCACCTTGGAGTCTTCTTAACTTTTCCCAACTTCACGGCGCCCCAGGATGGGCGATATTTTTTGTCGTTTTCTGTAAAACTGCGTCAACGTGTTTCCGAGCACTCAGTCCAGATCCGCAAAACACCTGCGCACCATCGCTAAAAGCCATCACCGGCTTTAGTGTTGAACAGTCGCTGCGTAGATGCAAGGCTGTACTATCTGTTTGTTAAAGTGTTAGCGAGGCTTGTAACTGTGGTTGAGCTGTAGACTACTATGATACTAATCCTTAACTCACAGTCGTGTCAGTTTTGCATAAATCAATAAATAACACAGACTTACTGAGTCATGCAAGTCTAACCGGCAATTCCCAAAGAGTTTTAAATGAATATCCGGACGCACTTCATTTGTGCCGAGCCCTTCGCACTATGGACCGTTCGGTCACAAAATAAATATCCATCTGGACCTAAAAAAGGTCACATCAGGAATGTACTCACCCAGGACGTCGGCAGATCGATGGCGAGCTACAAAGCAGGCGTCATCCCCATAACACATCCCTTTCTTCAAAATCCCTTTGCGAAAATCCTTCCCGAATCCACAGCTCGCTGTTACCAAGCTGTAGTCCCGGCTATCAGTTTGGGAAAGTCCGCCCAAGACAGCCCTGGCAACCAGTCTGCCATAGGAAAGTACAGAGATCATGCCCTCCCACCCGAAGACACCGAAAAGCGAAGCCCTGGGCTAGTCTGCCCGTAGTTGCTAGCCTGCCAGTGAGACAGCTAACCACCTTAGAGACTCTATGTAACGGTAGTTTGAAATGCCACCCGACAAGACCAATTAACTCAACCGCCAACGCAAAGACAGCGAGGAGCCCAGGGAGCCTCTTCTAGCCGTTCGCCGAAGTCGTGATTGTGTTCTCTCTTTACGTTTTGCCAGATTTGAAGGAAGCCATTCTTCCCGGGGACTCAGCTACCGCGCTCACGCGCCGCCTCCTCATTTCAGGTGAGCGCGAACAACCCACATGTCCGCGAGACTGAGCGAACTACAGAGTAAAATCGCCGGGTCTCGTGATTCGGCCGGCCTTGACGTCACAGCCCACTATGCAATCGCGCTTTCCTTAAAAGGCATCTGTAGTGGTTACATGTGCTCCCTTTGGACCATCTTTCACTGGTGAAGTACACTGTCCTTATTGTTTTAGATGCCGTCGTAAGTTGTTGCTTGCACGGTACAATATCTAGGATACTTTGCGTGCTGAGGATTTCATTTTCATAAGCGGGTAAATGCTGCAGCCTCTCGGACACTTTTTAAATTAATTAATTAATTAAGGGTTTTATAGACTTCTGACCTGCGATGGACAGACAATCGTCTAGGGTGGATAGGAGGTTTATACAGTTATTTAATTATTTTAGTTTATGTACAGTACCTGGCATGTAGCCTACATAAGTTCTCTCTGATTTCTGAAATATAGCCTGTACTCTGCAAAAAGAAATTGTTCTGATCTCTCTATAGAAACAGCCGCCTCTAATCTCTCTCTGAAATACAACTCTGTTGTCCACTGTAGTCTTTTTATTATGCGAGTACTGAGCACAGGAAAGCTATTCCAGAGGAAAAACACCAAGCAGATAGTGGTTTATGTTAATATGACAGAAAAAGATGAAGTTTTTTTATTTTCAAATTTACTCAGACGCTTTGTTTATCTTAAAACATATAGCATTTTCAAAAAGGTTGAGTGTTTTTGGATGTATTCCATGGTCTAGAAGGGGCATTTATAACTGAAATGATATTTTTGGGGAACTTCGAAATGTAACGGTGTTATATTTAATGTCGATTTTAATTTTTATCTACTTTGTGTTTCTAGCGTTATGTTGACATGTTACAAATACAGGAATATTTAAGGATGTTGTGTTTTGCTGACCATACAAATGTCTAACCTTTTTTTTTGAGCTATTTGCGCTGTGCGGCTCAGCGATTGGAAGGTTGGTGGTTCTAGTCCCACCCTCGGCAAGATAATCCCATGTCTGTGGGTCCTTGAGCACAGCCCTTACCTGCCAGCCCCTGGGGTGCTGCATACTGTCTTTCTGACCCTGTGCTGTCACCCCAAGCTTACTCTCACCTGTATGTGGCTCTCGTGGAGAGCAAGACAGGGTACGTGAAAAGAGAATTTCCTCACAAGGATTAATAAAATATTGTGAATGTATATGCAATATGGATGAAGACCGCTATAATAAGTATTTGTTTTGATCAATACCAATTATTTAGGCTGCTTCTCAACATTAAAACGAACATTTATTTATTTCAAAGACGAAAGTTAGAAATACATTCGCCAGTTCCTTTAGAAGCCGGCGTGGCGCTGCAGTCATATACAGCGCTAGTTCTGTAGTTGGTCGGGTCTTGGTGCCACCTTGTGGCTAAAAGTAGGATATTCTAGCTTTTCTGTGCGCTGTTGTAATGGGCCTTCACTTGTTTCTGTAAAGAACAAACATGAGGCAATGCTGGTAGTGCAGTGCTAGTAGTGACGTCACCCCAAGTTCTCTTCCATGATTGCCAAGACCTTTTGGCTGCATCAAATAAAAACTGTGGCAAAGTCCCTGGCATTTGGATTATTTGTTAATAGGCATGAAATAAAAATTGCACAAATATTAAAATAGTCAAACAATGGGTGTTTTTTTTGGTTTTAAATACATTTTAAATGTATTAAACTTTATATAGTGCAGTATGCAAGGATTAGGATAAAACTGATTTAGTGAACTACAGCGAAAACTGACTGGAATGTAGATTGAGGTGGTGAATTCAGAAAATATTGCAAATATCTGGAATGGCCAGCTCATCCCATTGAAGGTTTCTCTCGCAACTCCCAGCAGCCATGTGTTGTCAGCTGTCCACGCCTTTCATTCTACAGCATGGATACTCATACTAGGTGGACTGCGGTTTGCATCTGGGCCGAAACACAATTTAACCCAGACACACGGCACTATAAACACAAGTTTTATCTGCAGCCAAATGTGGGGCGTTTACACCAGGTGGCCAGTGAGAATCGAATGTTCCACCCCGCTCTGCAAATTTCTTGTAAGCACACCCCCCCAGGCTTGGCATCAGGGGCGCCGCCAGAAATCTTGGGCCCCATGAAAGATTACAATTTTGCCCCCCCCCCTTTTTGCGAAAAGGTAAAGCACCTAACAGGGCCCCATGTCAGTGCTAGGCCCCTAGAATTGTTCTAACCTTTCCCCCCCTGGCGGCGCCCCTGCTTGGCATATTTTACCCCCCACCCTCCCCATTCCAGGAACTGTGTTGCTGATGAAATTTGGCCCTGAGGGGAAAATTATTGGGAACCCTGTTCTATTCCACAAGCTGTGATGTAACACATTTGGAATAGGTAGACAGAGTTGTAAAGTAGTGAGTGCATTGCAAGAACTATCCAGTGTTCATGCTTCTAAACAGAAAGAGCAGCAACAAGTTCTCAAAAAATTATTAATCCCCATGTCTTATCGTGAGAATTTTATAATTTATGTGAATATATTGATGGAAGTTGATATACACTGTATGGACAAACGTACTGGGACACCTTGCCGTTACACCCACAGGAACTTTTATGACATCCCATTCTGAATCCATAGGCATCAATATGGTGTTTGTGGTTAGCTTTCTGAATGCCCAAACTAGCTAATTTGTCACAGATTACAAAGCATCCGTTACATATCGTTTGCTTTAGCTGCATTTAATAAACAAGCCAACACATAAAAACTCCAGCTGTATATCATCCAAAGTCAAATCATAGTTATGACTGGCACATTAAACTTGTAGCCAAGTGGCATCACTAAATACAGCATACGTGAATTTTTGGTAGGATCACCTAAATATCTAAATACACATATTCATTTTTTTAGTTTAAAAATAAAGCTACATTTCTGAACCATATTGAGATTTTGATAAAATAAGATCATCAGAAACATGTCAGTGTTTTGAAGAGCAACACTGCGCCAGAACTGGGCCACAGGAGGACAAAGAGGTCAGGAAGAAATAAATGAAGACAGAAAACACACTGATTATTAGCAGTATTTCGCTCACAGTGGCAACACAATGTGGGGAATTTGGGGGAATTGCAAAAATTTGGAATTGATCTCTAGTAAATTACACAGGTTCCTGGTTACTGAAGCTAGACATTGCACACTATATGGACAAAAGTATTGGGACACACCTCTTAATCATTTAATACAGGGGTTTCCTTCAGACCCATTGCCACTGGGGTATAAAGTCAAGTACCTAGCCATGCAGTCAGGCTTATAGACATTTGTGAAAGAATGGGTCATTCTGAAGAGCTCAGTGAATTCAAATGTGGTGCTGTCATAGCATGCCAGCTTTGCAATAAGTCAGAGGTTGGGCTAGGCCCCTTAGTTCCAGTGAAAGGAACTCTTAATGCTTCAGCATATCAAGACATTGTGGACAATTCTATGCTTCCAACTTTGTGGTAACAGTTTGGGGAAGGCCCTTTGCTGTTCCAGCATGACTATCCCAGTGTACAAAGCAAGGTCCATAAAGACATGGTTGGGTGAGTTTGGTGTGGAAGAACTTGACTGGCCCACATAGTGCCCTGACCTCAACCCCATCGAACACCTTTGGGATGAACTGGAACAGAGATTGCGAGCCAGACCTTCACGTCCAACATCAGTGTCTGACTGCACAAATGCTCTTCTGGATGAATGGGCAAAAATTCCCACAGACATACTCCAAAATCTTGTGGAAAGCCTCCCCAGAAGAGTGGCAGCTGTTATAGCTGCAAAGGGGGAACCAACTCCATATTGATGCCTATGGATTTAGAATGGGATGTCATAAATGTTCTTGTACAGTAGGTGTAATGGTCAGGTGTCCCAATACTTTTGTCCATATAGGATACCTGAATGCATAGTACAACAACATTTTGATCTGGCAAAAACAAAACAGTATTTCACTTGTTTTTGAGTTCTGGCAAGTAAAAAAGTGCATAAAAAGCAAGTGATCACTGAACTATAAAACAAGCAAATAAATTAACAGCACAGCACAAACGCCACTCCTCCCTCCCCTAGTTCTTGGGCTATTTCACATCAACATACTCCAAGGATACTTCATCACCAGATTCCAAGGATACTTCATCACCATACTCCCTGCCCTACTTCTTGGGCTGCTTCATCACCATACTTCGAGGGGGTGTAGCGGGTCGGCTTGCATTCGGCTTTTTCTTCTCTGTTGGTTTTAAAATCTACAGAATGTGTGTACAGTTTTATAAATGTTAATATATGATTTCAGGAAGTCTTCCCATGAGGTGGTAAGATAAGAAATGCAAGTGGCATTCCTACCTGGAAGGAGCACATCAGTGTCTCATCTACACTCATCATCGCGCCGGCGTTGTCAAACTCGCCGCAGTAGTTGGGTGCTGAGAACAGGGTCACCAGCTGCCGTTTGGCGAAGAACTCATACCCATCTTCCACCACCTCCACGAGAAGTACGGGTATCTCAAATCGGAACTTTAAGTGGCTCAAACACTACCACAGAAGCTGAATGAAATGTTGCAGATTTCCTTGTGCAATTCATACAGCATATGAGAAATCACTTATACAGTGATCCTCCGCCTATCGCGGAAGATGCGTTCTAGACCTATCAGCAATAGGTGAAAATCCACGATATAGAAACACCATATAAATAAACTTTTTTTTAATATATATAGTTTAAGCCTTAAAATACCCCTCCCACATGCTTTAAACACATGTAAACTTATTAAAACAACATATATGACATGTGGATGTCGGGCTAAAGATATGAGTAACATAATAATAATAATAATAATGATATGTAATGTGTATATATATATATATATATATATATATATATATATATA